TAAATTTTAAAGAAAAACAGACAACTATTGAATCATATTTCAATAGAGTATAATAAAAAAATTTCAGTTTCTATGAATTATTAATTTATGATTTTTTTTAGGTCCAAAAATTATAAAAGGATATTCCGAACAATTATTATCTTATTATTTTATGAAGTTTTTCAATTTTTTACATTAGCCTAAATCAAGACCGGACAAATTTATTATTTTAGAAAATTTATTAATTTATCGAATATTAATTTAAAGAGTTTCTAATGAACATTTGATCACATAATCATTGCTCAAATAATTTATGTTTTCGTAAAAAAACACTCAAGACTCATTACTCATTAATTAAAGTGGTTTCACTTGCTAATTTTAGATATTGAATCACTTTTATATAAAGACGTCATAAATATGGCATGAGAAAAAAATTAATGCCATGAAATTTTAGTACTTTAAAGAAATATTTCTTTATTGACGAAAAGAACATTTCACTTTTTAGTAATTTAAGGAAATATTCTGTATTTATTTAATCTATAACAATGATTAAGGATTTAAACTATTGTTTTCTTTAATATAAAATTATTATAAAATGGAACTTAGAATGGATTAGACGGAATCTCTTACTCATCACATTGTTTCAGCTTTTTTCAAAAGTAATTCTATAATATAAAACTCTTTTTGTTTAAACTTTTTTTTTTAAATTAAAAATATTTATTTTAAATAATTTGTTTGAAATTATTTTAGGTTTTTTATTTTTTTATTATAATTATTTTATACCAAAATTTAAAAAATTATTAAACTTAAAATTATTTTTGATAACTTTTTTATAAAAATGATTTTTAAGATATATTTTTTAAAACACTATTATTTTGGTTATGATTTAACCTTTAAAAATATTTATTTTATGTTATTGCATGTCAAAACTAATCTCCTAATTTATAAAATATTAGTTAAAATAACTTTATCATTTAAAAAAAAATTTAAAAATACAATAAAAATTAATTTTTTAAAGGTAAAACAAACATGTCCATATCTCTAAATCTTAATTTATAAATTTTATCAACTGATTGCTTACAAATATTAAATTTAATTGTTAGGAATTCAATTAAAGGTTTATGAGAATATAACTGTTATTGGAATTATATCATGTTAAAAGATATATTTTATTAATCCTTAACAAACAGTAATATATATATATATATATATATATATATATATATATATATATATATATATATATATATATATATATATATATATATATATATATATATATATATATATATATATATATATATATATATATATATATATATATATATATATATATATATATATATATATATATATATATATATATATATATATATATATATATATATATATATATATATATATATATATATATATATATATATCTTTTTTACAAAGCATTCTACTTATCATCTATATAAAGTGGGGTTTGAAAAATAGATAACCACAATGTGTTTAAAACCTCTAAACTTTTTGGAACAAATATTATGTAAAAAATAAATATTTTAAAATTTTATTTCATACTTATTCATCATCTATAATGATTTAATATTTTACTTTTTATATTTAATTATCTTAAAATAAATTTAAAGTTAAACTTAAATTTATTAAATAACCCTAATCTCTATATAGATCAAATTTATAACTATTTAATAAGTCTAAAAAACTATTTAATCATTAGTATATATATATATATATATATATATATAAGTATAAATAAAGTTTTTTTTTTTGTTAAATTTATTGAATAATTTTAATCTCTATATGGATAAGATAAGATATAATAACTATTCAATAAATTTAAAAATGATATCTATATTTATAATATGACAAGTGCTGACACCAATATAGTCATAAGAATTTGAAATTAGAACCAAGAATTTGTTTGCATGTAGGTATTTTCAAAAGCTAAAGCAACATAAGAATTGTTGGGAAACTGTTAACCCTATCATACTCAACTTTCCAAGCACTATAAATTCACATCCATTTCTTCATTCATCCAACAAAAACAAACCAACATGGCATCATCATCATCATCATCATCCTTAAACATCCTCAAAATGAGTCTGTCTTTCCCAATGTTGATGTTCTTCCTCTTGTTCATTTCACCTTCATTCTCATCTCCAACTGCGTCATCCTTGGGAAATTTACGAGCAGAAAATCTCATAAGAGGACTTAATCTTTTTCCAAAAGATTCCATTAACACACCACAGAATGAACCTCATAATATTGTTCGCGGAAATATCGTTGAGAAGAAGTTCACTTTCCCGGGTGTTTCTCATTCTGGTTTGTCTGTTGAAGAACTTGGTCATCATGCAGGGTATTATCGTCTTCCTAATACAAAAGCTGCAAGGTAAAATGTTTTTTGTCACCCCGCATCATAATATCAATGTCTGCATCGACATGTTTTCGTTGAACAATTTGTTATATGAATTGCAGGATGTTCTATTTTTTCTTCGAATCTCGAAACACAAAAGATGACCCTGTTGTCATATGGTTAACCGGAGGTCCAGGATGCAGCAGTGAAATTGCTTTGTTTTATGAAAATGGTCCTTTTCAGTTTTCCAAGAACTCGTCCCTTGTTTGGAATGAATATGGATGGGATAAGGTACCTATTATTTCTCACTTCTCACTTACTACGAAGTAATGACACGTGACTTTAACACGTTGGCACCAGTAATAATTTGAACTCGTATATCCTTTTTTTTTTCTCTTTTGTAGGCATCAAATATTATATTTGTAGACCAACCAACTGGAACAGGTTTCAGCTATACCACTGACGATACCGACATTCGTCACGACGAAGAAGGTGTTAGCAATGATCTGTACGACTTCTTGCAGGTAATTTGATTTGTTCAATGATTAAAGAAAACAATCTCTTACTGAACTAATCTCATAATAAGATCCACAAAATTTTACAATGACAGGCATTTTTCAAGGAACATCCTCAGTTCACTAAGAATGATTTTTACATTACCGGAGAATCGTATGCTGGACATTACATTCCAGCTTTTGCATCAAGGATTCACCAAGGAAACAAAGCAAAAGAAGGAATTCATATAAATCTTAAGGTATTATTATTACATTGTTATATAATGTAATAATATCAAAGTAATGTAAAACTAATTCGTAAACCTTTTGTAATAAACAGGGTTTTGCTATTGGTAATGGATTAACCAATCCTGAAATTCAGTACAAGGCATATACAGATTTTGCATTAGACAATGGATTAATTAATAAAGCTGAACATGACAGAATCAACAAGTTGATTCCACCATGTCAAAAGGCCATAGAGGCTTGTGGTAAAACATTTTGAGTTCTCTTTTTCCCTTTCTTAGTCATAAATTTTACTAACTTGTTGTGCAAGTCACGTGTTATTTTTCTTCGTTGACACAATTAGTTTGGATTTGATTTGTTAGGGACTAAAGGCGATGAAGCATGCTTGACTGCAAGGGATATTTGCAGTGGCATATTCAATGAGATCTTGGACATCGCCGGCAACATTAATGTATGATATCAAAAGAGAAAAATAAACTAAAAATAAAAAAGTAGTTTGATTTCACTGATGTGTTTTGTTGTTTGAACTGCAGTACTATGACATTAGAAAACAATGTGCGGGGAGTCTTTGTTATGACTTCTCCAATGTGGAAACATTCTTGAACATGGATACAGTGAGAAAAGCTTTAGGTGTTGGGGACTTGGAATTTGTTTCTTGCAGTAGCAAAGTATACAGTGCCATGATGGAGGATTGGATGAAAAATCTTGAAGTTGGTATTCCTGCTCTTCTTGAGGATGGAATCAAGTTGCTTGTGTATGCTGGAGAAGAAGATCTCATTTGCAATTGGCTTGGTAAGTTCAATTAACTTTTTGGTCTTAACCCCTTTGGTTCCTAGGAAAGGGCCCGATTCGAACTCAGATTCTTTCGAATGATTCATCCTTAAGTGGAGCTTTTAACTAAGCTCAAATGATTTTGAACCAAAATTATTAGTTGGAATAATAAATGTGCTTATCATTTGGTAGGGAATTCAAGGTGGGTTGATGCCATGAAGTGGTCAGGTCAAAAAGAATTTAAGACATCTTCTATAACACCATATTTGGTTGATAGAGAAGAAGCAGGAAGTCTGAAAACCCATGGACCTCTTGCTTTCCTCAAGGTTTGTATTTAAGGATGTATTCATGCTAGTATGAAGCTATCGATCAATTTCATTTTCTCAAATTGTAATACATATGTTGCGTCTGACACTCACACGAGCATTTACACTGAATCACTCTCATTTTTTCAAATTATTACCAATGTTGTATCCGGCATATGCATCTCTTTGTTGGTGCTTTGTAGATATTGTAACTTGCGTGTAACCTTTTTTTGGAGGGAATAATAGGTGAAAGAGGCTGGTCACATGGTTCCTATGGATCAACCAAAAGCTGCACTTCAGATGCTACAAGATTGGATGCAAGGGAAACTAGTAAGGAAAAGGGGAGGAGATAATGTTTCACCTATATGATGCTATGCACAAATCTAAAATCACTTTGAAGTTGTAAACAGAATAATGATTTTTACTTGTGTACATTGGAATGGTGAATGAAATATAATTGTTCTTCCTTAAGTTCTTGTCTAGTTCTTGGCATTCTTGCTTCTACTATCTCATAAAATTGTGATTTAAGATTTTGAAGTAAATCAATCATCCATCATTGTCATCAAATCATGCACAACTTAGTACTCGATTTTCTTCAAATTAAATTGAATTCTAAACAAATATATTCAAAACAATGTCATGAAATGCTTCCATACAAAGAGGAATGGAGCTTATATTTGTTCTTCTAAATCAAGGCTTAGACTAAGGGTATGTATGGTTGATTATGTGGAAAGTATAAATATCCAAAACAAACTGCGCGCCAGCACTAGACCCTGATGGTATGTGTACAATACATTTAAAATGTTTTCATATGTTACAATTATACATACAAATCAGTGTGGCAAGAATTTACATTGAAGCACTTCGAGAACTATTATTCGTGGTACTGCAAAGAACTTGAGTTCCATTGAAATAGGTACCTGATTTTTTATCAGGCATGTCCTTGCTCAAAACTGTAACTCGATCCAAGTAGATTCCTAAGTAAGATATCAAAGGGTCTGCCCTAGACTTGTCAACAACTAGCTTCAAATACTGAGATTTTAGTTTTGGAAACAGCAACAGCCTCTGATATCCAATTGTGGTACCATTTACAACTCTCTTCCAAAAACCGTCTCGGTTCAACACCTCAAGATGAAACTCAATTACCCTTTGTCCCATATGAATAGGCTCTTGAACTTTCAGAACATTAAAGGATACTAGTTCTTTGAGATCTATGTACAATATCCATTTAGATTGGTTCTCCTCAGGAGCCCAATAAGTGTGAATACCTTCTTCAAGAACTTTATAGGGATTAAAGCGAGAATCTTGGATTCCTCCTCTTGTGCTGCTTGCATTAAAGAAAGCGCTTGCCGCCAAATTGTGGGAAAATATGGAGCGTCGAAGTTCACTAAACTCTCGAAGAACTTGGATATCCTCGGGGGAAATAAGGCCTGAGGAGTTTGGAGGGACGTTCAATAATAGCTTACAGTTTCGACCGGCCGATTTATAGTATATTTCGAGTAGTTCCCTTGCAGATTTTGGATGTTCTGAAGCATGCCAAAACCAACCAGGTCTGATAGAGACATCACAAAAAGCAGGCAGCCATGCAGAACCATATGGATCTCCTTGCTTTTGGTATCTGTTAGATCCCCCAAAACATTGATAAGTAGCTATCTTAAATCCTGTTTGGATAAACTACTAAATTATAAGCGCTTATCATATAAGCTATAAACTATTTCTATAACAAAAGATAAAATAAAGTCAAACTTTTTCATATAAGCTATAAGTTGTTTTCATAAACTATTATGAAAAGCATATGAAAATATTGAATTTCTTAGCAACATCACGTGCATCATTTGAAAATATCGCCTAAGATGTTTCTATAAGCTCTCTCAAACATCTCACAAATTATTATGTCAGTAGATAAGCCCAAATAAACAAACTCAAACAAGCAAATCTGAGTTGAAACAAGAGGACCTCTCACCCTATGCAACCATGAGACTATTAGATTTTTGCACATGGCACTCTCAGAACTTCTACGGATTTGGATTCTTTGCTGTTAATGTCAAGAGAACACACTGCCAGTGAATTTACCACATCAGATTTCGTGCAGTCTTTAATTTCAAGAGAAAAATGCAAGTAATCTAACAATGTAAATTCACTGACTGCGTATTCCGTTGACGGCAGGGAATCCGAATCCCATTCTACCCATCTACATCCCAAGTGTGAGGCCTTGCCATAAATATTTGCAGCAAACAACTAATGATTGAAAATTGCATGCTTCAATTTCATTGGAGATTAATAAATCCTCTGAATCAGATTAAGTTAAATCCTTTTAATTCCGGTGGATGAATAATACAACAATGACTCAACTCCACGGCTTGTCTTATGAAAATGCATTAATTATATGATGATGATTGACAATTGACAATATAACATAGCAGATATTTGAATCAGACATGATTTGAAACAAGGAAACTATATTAGGAGTGTCGGTATGAAAAGGACTCACTGAGGATCAATGTCGCCACCAATTTGAACAGCGGAACTATTGAAAAGAGACCAACAAGTGGATCCAGCAACTCCATATTCATTACCAACCCACCTTGTGTCAGGACCGCCATCGGAGAAAATGATGGCACCTGGATGAAGCTGGTGAATGAGAGAAAACCAACTCTCAAATAAATATTTCATGCCCTTCCCTCCATTTGCACCATCCAGAAAAACATCCTTTATTTCTCCATACCTGACCTAAATGCAATGGTTATCAAATCAAATCAAATCAAATAAAAAAATCAAATGTATATACTAAGTCACAATAACAATGAGCAAAAAAAAGATTCACTCCAACATGAGGTCAAGAATCCATATCAGGCCAACCGAACCAAGAAGTTCATATAATACTCACACGCTTTGCGCACCAACCACTTGCCCTAGATTGGAAACTAATAACTCATCAAACAAATCTAAAAACAAAACTCAATGAATGAAATTCAACTACTTAACCACAAAATTGAACTACGAAATGAGCAACAAATTCAAAACTACAATTACCTAGTGAGTAACTCATTCATCTGTGCCAAGTAAAACTCATTATACCGCAAAGTATCACCATAACACTCTTCATGCCGATCCCACGGCGAAAGGTAAACCCCAAATCCAACACCAGCGTCTCTAGCAGCATCAGCGAGTTCAGCAACCACATCACCGTTCCCGTTTCTCCAACCACTCGATCGCACTGAATAATCGGTGTACTCAGAAGGCCACAGGCAAAAACCATCGTGGTGTTTCGCTGTTAACAAAACGCTGGAGAATCCAGATTCTTTGACAACGTGAATCCATTGAGATGCGTTGAGTTTGGTAGGGTTGAAGGTGGTTGGGTCGGCGTGGCCGGAACCCCATTCGGCGTCGGTGAAGGTGTTTGTTCCGAAGTGGAAGAAAATGGCCATTTTGTCGTTTTGCCATTGGAGTTGGAATGAAGTGGGGAGGGGTAGAATTGGAAGTGGGGGTGGTTTGAGGGTTGATGATAAGTGGATTAGAGAAGAATAAAGAAGGAGAAGTTGGGTTTTGATGGAGAATCTGAATCTTGTTTTCATGTTTCTATTTTCTGTTTGTGTTGAGCTTGAGCTTGAGATTGACTTTACTTTCATTCTTATGACTTTTCTACTCTATTTTTCTTTTGCTTTTTTTTTTATATACAAAATTCTAAGCTTTTTCAATTTTGTGTAAATTTAGATGTATTTTCAAAATATCCTTTTCTACCTAGGAGATTATAAGTTTTTTTTAATCATTATGCATTTTCAAAATATTCCTTAAGAGAATCAAAATCAGTTGGTAGACGCGGATGTGGATTATAATAGTGATTTTTTTTTGTGGTGGAAGAGGGATTGTCTGCAAGATAAGTATTTTAACGCTTAAGTCAGTATGAGAGCAAGATGAAGTGAATGAGGTTTGAATTCGAATTTGAAAAATGACTGAGAAATGACGCGTTCTTCCTCTTATAGAGTTGGACGGTTATAACAGTTTGTTAATTTATTAGTGTGAGACATGGATATCAGTCTGATTGATCTTGGATCAAGATCACATGCATTATTGACTAGGATAGCATGTTTGCTCCACATGGGATGAATTGAATCATTATGCTATCTAGGCCGTAATTATTAAAGCCTCTAGCCGACCAAGAACACTTCCCCTTCATCCATTACCTTTGCTCTAAGAACAATTTCCCCTCAACCCTTACCTTTGCTCTATAGGGTGAGGGCTTTGTTGCATTTGTCCTCTTCTGTAGGTCGTTGCTTAACTTGAGTGAAAATTTGGAATATGACGTCATTTTAATGGGAACTTGCGCCTCATATGTGCCATACTCTTGGTATCTTTTTGCCTTCTTCATTATGATGACCTTTGGGAACTAGAATACTTGAGTATTTTATGGTGAAATTTTAATCGTTGGTTGTGCTTTCTTATTTCCTTTTCGTAAGATAATGCATGATCTTTGGGAATAGTTTTAAAGATTTTTTGATCATTACCATTTATCTTTTTTCCATCCGCGTTCATTGTAACATACCATTCTTCTTCACTAATGGAAACGGTTGCCATCATGTATCAAAAATTAGAGGAAGACACTTTTGTTTCTTGGGTAGACCCTAATACTTTTACAATGGTTTCTATCTTTGCTCGCAAAGGTAGTCTCGAAAGGGCTTTTCTTAAAGTGGGTTCTTCTTCTTACTGAGGCATATTGATCTCTAAAGAGGACAAAAAGATTTGCATTAAATATAGTGAGTGTGTCATCACTTTTTATGAGTGCACCTTTTCAATTTTAGGTCTCTGATTGCCTTTAAATGACTTTGAAGTTAAAGTTCTAAATCATTTGATGATTACTCCTTCGCAATTGAATTCCATGAGTTGGGCATTCATCAAAGTCTTCCATTATTGGTGTGATTACTATGAGAAAAGCCATATGTGTCACTATTCTTTCATATTTTCAAGGTATAATATTGCATTGTGAATCACCCACAAACCCAAGGCTTAATTAAATTGATGCAAATTACCTGTCACTCTTCTTTATTGATTTTGAATCCTTGAGTCTGAATGGATACCCCCTCTGGAATTTCTTTAAAATGCAATAATGGGCTTCAATCTTTGATATGTTAAATGGACTAACTTATCCTCATCTGGTCAAGGATTTTTGGGTTAGAGCTGAGGTGTATGATGAGTTTGCTACTTCTTTTGAAATCATTCAGAAGGTTGCTGAAGATAGTTCTTTAAAAGGAAAAAGTAGAAAGGAGATGGGATTGAAAGAGTTTGAGGAAGTTGAAATAAGACTCATTGTGATGGGAATTAATGTCACCATCACTCAAAACACAATTTCCAAACTCCTTGGTGTGTCAATTGTAGGAAGGTGCACTCTGAACACTAAGGAAACACACTCCAGAAGTCGAAATCATCAAAATCAGGTTATTTGAATATTCTGATGATTTTGGAAAGGTAAAGAACATGAAGACTTCTTACAAAATTTTGGTTAAGATCCTTATTGGGTGTCTAATTCCTAAAATAGGTAGTACTTATCAAATATATTGGGATCATAAACATTTCATCTGGTATTTGGTCAATGATGAGAAAATTAATCTGCCTGACTATATCTTTCATCATTTATGTGAAGCTATAAAGGAGAGTAAGAAGCATAAAAAGAGGAATGTAACTTATGCCAAACTCTTGTCTGAGTTGTTTCATCAGGGTCGTCTGCTTGACTCTTTGAGAGATGCTTCTGCTCATGATGATATGTAAGAAACTTTGTTCGCCATGAAAATTGGTGAACAACCGCTAGTCTTCCAAATCGAAAAAGGTTTGTTTTACTTCCTAGGGCATGTGCTAATTGATCTTAAACAAAGTTTAAAAAGACGATGAACGCTTCGACAGAGTTCATGATAAAATAACTTATTTCAAATGTAAATGAAAGTGAACACGAAGGATTAAAGTCGAAAGACTGATAAAAAATATAGAAAATAACTTGCATAAAGAAAGGATAAATTCTTAATGAAAAAGACTTATTAAATTGCATTGAAATGTTAAAATGGTGTTACATCAACGTACATTCTCACAAACTCGTTTCTCTACATGTGGATAATTGAAGTATACTGAAGAATTTGTACACAATTGAACACACCCAAATCCTAACACTAAGACTTTCTATTTATACTAACGAAAATAACTGTCATCAACGGCTAACAAAATAAATCGAGACAAGTGGCGTTCTGCATGTCTTCGATTTCTAGAAGCGTTCCACGTGTCTTCTTTGAGAAATGGATAAGAACGAACTTTCCCTCCTTTATTTAAATTTAAATCTTCCTGTCGAAATGCCTTCAGCAGCACTTCTGTCGAATCGAATCTTCCAACTGCTAAGAAATATTTCTAAATCCGTAAAATAGTTTTTCCTAGAAAAAGACACCTTCGACTCACATTCCAAAAACATGGCTTCGATTGAAGTCATTAGATTTCTTCAAAAACTCTATTACCTACTTTTAATCTTATTCATGCGTCAAAATTTAGAGCCAACAAATTGCCCCCCAAAAATGTCATTTTCGACATCACTGAAGAAAAAGACATTTTTTAATAATGTCATTCGACGCCTTGAATGAATTTTGCATGTTTTTTTATGTTTGTTACTATTCAAAAAAACCCATAATGTCATAATCTTCATAGCGGTTTCTGAAACATCTCATCAAAGCACGCCACAATCTCTAGCCATCATAATGTTTCCTAGATCCTAGGAAATCATGCACTAGACATTAGTTGCCCACGTTCCATCAAAAGGCCCTGGTGGAACACGTGTCCCACTAACCATTAGCTCTTTAATGTTGATTTGAAGTCCTTTGGACTCTCACGAGCTTATAAATTACTCCAAACTTAGCCATTTTCTTCAAACTTTAACAATGGCGTCTTCAACCACCAACATTAAAGACTCCAAGAAAGGCCACAAATCTAAAGACCTGAAGAAGATCTCTCAGCTTCTTCCCTTTGACACACTATCAACGCCAAAGATGGTGGGAAACCAGCAATTCATCGCTAAATCACTTGAAGAAGAAAAGAGGAAGATATACGAATCTCAGGTACTTATTCTCGTTACTGTGTTTGTTAAAAGACATGCACTATGCGGTCCTTTACCTTCTCTTAGTTTTGATCACAATAAATCTAGGGACTTATTCCCCTCTTACCGTAAGTCAAAACCCATAGAGCAGGCCAAGAAATCCAGGGTTGAGAAATTATCTTCTGGTGTTATAGTATTGAATAATATAGATTTAAGGTACATGAACAACAACTTTAGAGTTTTTAAAGCAACCTCATCCTTTAAAGAATCTAATGATTACATGAACTGGCTAGCAAAATAGAGAAAGTTAAATCCCAAACTTGGAAAAATCTAGGAATCTACGACCTGATTATGCTGTCGAAAACAGGTCTTAATTACTATTCGACCATGTTGGTTTCTTCTTTATATTTTTGGGATAACACCCATTATACTTTCCATCTCCCTTGTGGGATGATGACTCCTACACTCTTCGACATAGTCGTTATCGCAGGGCTTAAACCCACTGGAAACACCTATGACCCAGACCTAGAATCTAACAAATCCATAGTTTTGCATCTTCTAAAGCCACATATTCTCACTTCATAACACACTACTTCGACAAAACAACTGATGATGCTTCTGATAGAGAACACGTAGCCTTTTTTACTGTATGGCTATCCCATTGTGTCTTCTGCCCAAAGTCCCTCCAAGTAGCTAGAAGATATCTAACTCTAGCCACTCAACTTCACAAAGGCCATGATATCTGTCTAAGAGAAATGATCTTAGGGAATCTCTATGAATCTCTAAGTGAAGGAGTGGCCCAACTTAAAGATTTGGGAGAAAAAAGGAACCTTTTGCTATCTGGTCCCTTTTGGTTGTTACAACTTTGGCTAAATGCCTCATTCAAAGCTAGTTTCCCTAATAAAAATCCAATAAATGAAACTGCTGAAGACCTCAAGAATAGAAGAGTCGAAGGGACTCGCTTAGTCCAGTTCACTCTTAGCAAAGAAGGACAATCTCTCAGGACAACATTCTTGAGTTATGTCATGATGTTTGCCAAACGTCATGAGTTCACTTCAAACATGGCTCCATTTTCTGCAAGGAAGTATGGCCCTGAGTAGTTTACAAGACCTTTTCCAACCCCAACCAAGGCTCAAGAAGCAGAATCTTTACAGATCTGGGAGGCTTTCCTGATTCCAAGGTTTCTAACCCTTCGATTGAATTTGTCGAAGTCTCAAGTGGCTCTGGTTGCTTACCAACCAAACTTAGTGGCTCAACAGTTTGGGTTGGTCCAAGCTCTTCCCAAGTGTCTCTTCAAAAAGAAAGGTGCCCTTCTGCTTCATCATGTGAAGTATACTAAAGAGATGACTTCGACGAAGCTTGCCCGTTATGCTAATAAGGCTCAACTTATCCCCACAAGTTTTGAACCATGTTTCCTTTGCACCCTAGAATTCAGAAATTGGTGGTCAACATATTATTTAGAGGAGTTATTTGATGCTCCTTCTTTTACTCAACTTATTAACCAAGCTTTCC